AGTTAGACTGACCAGTGTGACCAGTGGAGTTAGACTGACCAATGGAGTTAGACTGACCAGTGCAGTTAGCCTGACCAGTGTGACCAGTGCAGTTAGACTGACCAGTGGGGAAATGGTGTGGCCTCCAACCCTGAAACAGAAAAAGCCCCCTCCTGAGTTTCTGTGAAGGCCCCGGGCTCCTATTGGCCGGGACAGCCGCTGGGGCTTCCTGAAGCTGACGCTCGAGAAGGGCAGCGGAAAGAGAAGGGAAAGTCCCGGCGCCTGGTATAAAACAGCAGCTTCAAGGGGCTTGCTCGGGTCTGAGTGACAGTTATCTTCCGGTGAAGAGGAATTTATCTGACGCCGCTGCGGCACGATGCGCTTTCTGGCCCGCTGCTGCCTCTCAGCAATTGTCCTCATCCTTTACCCTAGCGCCGCTCTGTGCTGCACTCCCGAGGAATATCCCTGGACCATCCGCGGAGTGCGGGGCTGCTGCCGCAATTGTCCTGCAGGTAAGGGGCCCCAGTTAGCGGGTAAGTCTTCACACATGTGCCGAGCTCCCCATCCCTCAGATTCAGGCCCCTGGAGCTGCATGGAGCCTACCTATCCCCGAGAGTTAAAGGCAGGTTAGTCCAAATAAAACCGCCGGGCCTCAAAAAAAAATAATGTTGGGTGAGGAGTGAGGGATTGATTGCTGCGAGGTCTTGGGGCGTCAGCGATCCCTGAATTTGTGTAGCTGCCCATCTCCAGGATAGTGCAGCATCGCCAGGAACCGAGACAAACCTGCTGTTAACATGAAATTTGAGTAGTTTACGTTGTGGGAGCAGTTGAAGCGATTTATCAGGAATATTTCCACACGGATGCTTTCAATTCTGTTTATTGTGTTTCTTTGACGTACAGCATTTGAAGTAGGAATTATAACCAGTTAATAGTCAGATAAGCAACTTCCCTTTTTTTAAAGGAGAAAGAGCAGATTCCCTTCCCGCTGAAAGCAGGATAGAAAAGCAATTTCTTGATTTTGTATAGAGTACACTGTCGGCTGGATGTTGCCAATCGCCCAATGTCCCGAACATTATGATGTTAATCCTTACCCCCAGCCTTTTATCTTAACATTCTCAGGATTGGAACGTCTTGGAAATTAGGCTTGGGGAAATAGCCAGAAAGTGGGACCGATTTATCAGATGTTGGGGTCCCTGAAGAGTGGGCAATATGGGTTAAAAGATCACTTCCTGGACAAAATCCTAATCCAAGGTAGAGGACCTCAAATTCCAGTAGCTATTTGATAAAAGTTCCACGAGTTGTACTGAATGCTGTAGGGATGCAAGACAAATCTGAGGAATACTATATAAAAAGACCGATTGAATGGATATGTGCTGGGGGAGTCCTGGTGGGATGAGGGGAATCGATTATGTGAAGTGCTGAATAATGGAAAAATTCAACCGAAATTAGTCAGATTTTCAGTTCTATGAAACTAACGGAGGAGACAGCTCAGAAATAACAGGGTGAGTTGGGCAAAGTGTATCATAAGTAGGCAGAACTTGGTACTTGGAGAGTGATAAAGACAATTGTATCATGTTTCACGTAAAGAAATCTAAGTAACATATGTCCTCAGTGAATAGGAATGGCATTACAAGATTTAGGACATTTCCAGACAATGTAGAATAAAAGTTTCGGGGGTCAGGCAGGGAAGTGGAGTTAGGACCACATCACATTAACCATGATCTTACTGAATGATGGAAAATGCTGGAGGGGCTGAGCAATCCTGTCCTTATTTTTTATTCTTGTGATAATAAATGAGCTGAAGCAAATGTCAGATATTTATCTACAATTAAAGTTCAAGAGAAGAACTGCTTTCATAAATTCAATCAAGAAAATGTCAAAATTAGGACTGATATCGGGATGTTCTTCACACAAATTATAATTACAAAATGCAAGTATATAAACTGTGGACAGAGGGCATGGTTTTAAAATGATTACGGTTTTGTTTTTATTTCATTAATCCTTGTTTCATTTGAAGACTACATTTGGCTGAGTTCCTGTGTCTAAATAGCAGGAAACTGACAAGTTTATTCATCTGTTCATAGACTAATCTGTTTTAAAATGGTTTAAAATGTAACCTGTACGTAGAAGTCACTTTCAAATGGAACTCAAACTCAGGACACAGAACAGCACATTGGGAATTAAAGGTAGGGAAATTAAGGGGTTAGTGTTACAGCTCTAGCAGTCACTGGTCTAACAGTGTAAGCCTTAGAGAATCATATAGAATCCAAATCTATGCATGCTGTTTTAACAAGGACGACCAGCTTGACTTATTTTTCCATGTGATCTTTTGGCACTTTTAGTACACAGCTATTTTCTTTCTAGTACTGTATCTGTATGTGCTTAGAGAATGAGAAAATGATATTAGGTTACAGCAGGAAAAGAGATCAGTATTTGAACTGATTATTACTGAAATTTATTCAATGGTGCACATCTCTCCTCCTGCTCCAATCCTGATACAGGTATGATGAACATTAGTACCTGACAGCTTTTCACATTTAACATCAGAGTGTCAGCCGTTCCCCTCTTCTCAAGTCCAAACAATCCCCACCCACTTGTGCTCCTCAGTCTCCACCCATTCTAGAGGAGACCCTGGTACTTCTTGCATTGCTGCTATTCCGTAACATCTGCTTGGCTGCATAGTTATATTAGACAGCAGTGTGTGATCTATCCCAAGTGATCCCAGAAATTCAGAGCATCAGTGAAAGGAATTCAGCACCTTCATAGGCATTAAGACATCTGCATTGGCTCTGGCTTCAATTGACTCTGCCATTCATGAAGGTAAAGCAGACAGGGCTGGGGTTGCTGCAGTCACAGCAAAGCTAAAGGTCACAGTGGTTGTGGAATGAAGGGTATGGGCTTCAGGTGAGCAAGGAACAAGGCCACAAGTGGGCTGATTTCAAATGAATGGGGAAGGAGAGGTTTGGAGCAGAAAACTTGAAACCTGAAGTGGGAGGGGAAACTTCAAGCGACAAGAAGGGACAGGGAAGATCATAGTGACACAGAGGGAGCAGGAAAGTGAGGTCTGAGCAGAAAATGTACACAGAGTGTCTTATTCCATTGAATCTGCTTCATTTTCAAAATTGTGGCAAATTATTAGCGACCAGACGGCTGAGACATAAAGTTTAAAAAACAGTGTGCAGATAACAAATGTTTAACTTTTGCAGTCTTGGGATTTTTTACATGGAGTGAGTGGGTTGAAAAAGAAATGTATTTCGGAGTGAGGATAGGGTGGGTGAAGAGATATGAAGATATGTACTGCAAACCAACCAGCTGGAGGTACTGTTTTGATTGTGCGATGATTTACACAGGAGCAAGAACAGGTCATTCAGCCCCTCGACATTGCTATTCAGTTAGGTCAAGGCTGATCTACCTCATTACCATTTTTCTGCACTATCCCCCTATCTCTTGAAACCATTAGCATCTAACAATCTATCCATCTGTATTTTGAACTTAATAACTCAACTTCCACAGCCCTTTGATGTACAGGATTGAAGCCAGTTACTTTAAATGTTTCTTGAAGGCCAGACTGTTGAATGGTAAACAGCAGTTATGAACATCTAATGATCTGATATTTTGATATCAATGTCTCATACAGTTGATGGTACACTGACCTTTGAAAGGACTTTGACATTTGTGAACTGGAAATCAAGACCAATGAATGTGGATGTAGCAACACTCATTCAGTGTGTTTTTCATGCCACCTCCAGTATATTCTATTCAGTATTTCAAAACAATTGAAAAACACGTTTATAAACAGGGCATTTGCAAATTTGTAAAATTAACCCAGTGATGAAAATAGCAGACATGTATAATCAATTATTATTTTTCAGCACTGTTTCAATAATACCTTTCTAAAGTACGGGGGGGGTGCAAATTATTCTTCTTTGAGGGTACACAATGATGAGACCTATACTGCAACCTTTCAACAACAGGTTGAAAATAATAAATGTAACTACTGCCCTAACTAATGCAATTGTGAAATGATGGCATGTGTTTGGGAATATTTGTCTAATTGACTACCTGACCTTTAAGATAGCATCCGCAATGTTAAGTAAAGAGAATGTATTGGTACAGTCACCAAAGTGACATAGTGCATTGAAAACCCAGAAGATAGCAAAATACAAGTTTACAATTGTAGTTCCTCACACATCGTACTCTGGGTCACAGCTGGAGACCTCATATCATTGATGTAGGTGTTGAATGGAGTTCAGACAACTCCTTATAAGAATCAAGAACACTTTAGAAAAGCCATTCTACGTGTGTCTCAGTCATCTTGGTCCAGATCAGCAAATAGACCGGGGAGTGGGTCACCTGCCTTGCTATTTCAAGGGATGTTATGTGGTGTGGCTAGGCAAAACATGGGGGTTTTAAGTGAAATGGATTTAAAAAAAGAAATGAAGGAATTTCAGTCTGAAGCGATGCTTTCCTTCCATTGATTCATTTTAAGAGTTGGGTTGCATTCAAAACATCATAGTCACTGGAGTGCACAGTTTAATGTGCAGGCCTTCACCATGGTATATTTATGTCCAGAACTCCTATTTTGACTACTTCCAAGTAAATTTCCCATTTAGTTGCAGCTGGTCCAGACAGCCTTAGTTTTGTCATCCTATCATCTTAAACAAAAGCATTACTCCACTAATACTGCAACCAAACAATGAGCATGAAGCAGCTCCATTTCTGTACACTATATCTAAGGTTAAGGCTGAATCTTTAATTACAGAAAAAAAGTTGAATTAGTTCTGGTTAAAGTCATCAGAACTGATGGTCAAATTCCAGGATTGTGAGCAATAACAGCATTTGTGGGGATTTAGTGCTTAAACGGTTTCTCTAATGTTGCTTTAAAAAGATAATATCACATGAGTCAGCAGTGCTACAATTTCATTGGAAGTGTTTGACAGAATGATTGCATGGTATAACACTTGTTAATAAAAAATAAGTGGACAACAGCTACTGCATGTGTAAGCCCTCATTCTGATGCTTGTTTGATCTTTTATTTTAAAAATAAGGCTGTTACTTGAACTGATGTTTACTGTGTAACAACGTGAACAAAAAGGCAATGCTCAAGTGTACCTCTTGCAAAACAGTTGTGCTTTTAGTCACGCGAAAGTGAAATGTAACATAGTGGAAACAGTTTTTATGAACCAGGGAGTACATACACAAGACGTAAATCAATCATTTCTAGCATACTTCAAAGCTAAATGCAATTAAAAACCAAATATGGTTCTCAAGTACACAAGGTAATCAATAGCTGTGTAAAGAACTGAATGGTATGTGGGCAGCAATAACAGAAAGATTGGTGCATGACTGTGGCTAACAGAACGTACCAAGAAAGAAAAAAAAGTGCAGCTATTGCCTCTAATCAGGAGTAAACAGCAAAAAAAGGTTTTAACAAAAGTGGGCGATCCAGAGGCTTTGCAGAAAGAGTGCTATGGAAAGTATATGAAAGGGAACTGAGTCACTACCAAAGAAACTTTATAAATGGTATCACTGTAAATTCCGCTGAAGTAAACATCTAAAAATTCACATTTTCACTATGTGATTAGAAATTAAAGGCCATACTAGTAATCTCGTTAATTTAAATTTAATTTTTATTAATGACCTTAAACTTTACACTTCTATTCTATAGGATTAGGTAAGATTAAAGTAAATAGCCACTGCCTCAATAGTCCTTTCTACAAATTTCAATATTTAGTATTAATAGTTTGTTAAAATTTATATTCAGAAGCTCTGTTTCTGCAGTTCAACGTTCTTTAAAGTTCAAAAAGAAGTAACGAACTGCAAAGCAATTTATTGAATTCCAAACAAGTAGATGCAGAATTCTGGTACTAGGTTATTCAATGAGCAGAAAGTGGATGCTGTATATACCTTGTTTCTTATTTTTGCTCCGAAGTAAGAAAATGTTATTTGCATTGGGGATTGAAATGTCTTTTACACCCATTAGCCAGGCTCTGAGAAATAAACTGATGCCTTATCTTTACATACTTACAAAATTTAATTTACAAAGACACATTCTTAAAATGCATCCCTAATGCCATAACTAAAATTTTGTTTCTGTTGTACCAAATTTTCAGTCTGTTCTCACATATAGGAGCCTAAGTATATTGCAGGTTAATACCTGTTACCTGAACACAATTAAATACTCGATGACTATACATTTAACAGCCTGGAAGGTCATTCATCTGCTTTCTACTGTAACATGTGAATGATATTGGTTGCATGAAGATGTGGCCCTATAGTTCACTTTCATACTGACGATTTAAGCAAAAAAAACTTTTTTATGTATAATAGATAGAAACAGATGACTTGGCAAGCACACCATTACTGTCACACCACTGGCACAACAAGGTGCAGTTTAGAAATCAGATTTAGTTATGGGCAATATGTCCTTTTGAAACACGATAAAACTAATTAGTTCAGATTCCCAATGCTGCAGATAAAAGCAGTTCAGTTTTTTTGACTGGTTATGAATCAACAGCTGTTTGTTGAAGTACAAAAAACTCTTTCATTGTAACATTGATCTTTGCCTGCAATGATAATAGGTACCGGTATTTACTGCGTGCACGTCCCATGGTAAACCATATGTTGTTAAATGAGCAACTTATTGAAAGACCATTTGAATCAATTGCTGATATCTTCACCTCCCTGTTTGTAGTGGTTGTTCAGTTACCACTGTTAATCTACACCTTTTGATAACTCTCCTTTGGTGTGTGCTGCTCCTTCATTCAAAATATGGTGAATCCACTATCTGTAACCATAGTGCACAATGTGGTAGATACCTCACCATTATTGTGTCTTGTTTAATGAAGTATCATATAGACTGCCTGCTTCCTTGGTGGTCCAGGCAAAACATGCTGCTTGAACAAGCTTAGTGAATACTGTTGTTCACAAACATCCCATGTTCAATATTGTACATTCTGTCCTGTGGTGTATTTGTAAAGGTTGTGTACAGGTATCTTGAGATGCAGATTCTAACTGAAAGTTTCATATTGTCAATTATTAAACAGCCACCCATTGTTTCTTTTTTGAAATATTTGGGGCCTTTGAAATGCTTTTGAATACAAGCATCATCTATGTTTCATAGAGCATGCATTTACTTGTCGGAGGTTTTGCTGCTATTCCTCCTGGACATTCATTGAATGATAGCTTGACCTACTGCAATATATCATCAATTTGTTGTTATGATCAGAAATGCCACAACTAGTCTAAGCAGTGATAGTCTTCATCTTTGGAAAGCAAGCAAATAAAAAGAGCTAACACTGCCTTTCAGATTAATATTGGAAGTCATTGAACCCTTACAGTCATACAGAACAGAAGGAGGACATTCAGCAATTCTGTATATAAAGGCTCTTTGTAAGAGCTGTTCAATTTGTCCCACTTCACTGCTCAGCCAATGAAGCCTTGTAAAATTTTCCCGCCAAAAGAACTGCTGAACTTATATGTATGGTAAAACGTATAGTATGGTAGACCTTGTATCAAACAGGACTAGAGGAAATATGGGCAGCAATACTTGCTCCACCATAATCTCTTTCGCTGTTTAAATGTGTTCCACCAGGTCTTTTTTTGGCTGACACTGTCACCTCCTTTCATCTGCCACTCACCTGCCACTCTGGTAGAACCTTTGTCTAGGAGGCAGAATACATGTCCTAGCTTTCTCAGTTATCTCTCTGTCAAAATGCCCTATTGGCATCTCTGACCAAAGCCAGTTCCAAGTCTGATTGGAAATGCATGAGGCCAATATGCTCACCTTGCAATAACCCATCACCATTACAGAAATAGCAAGTAATATGGTAAAACAATGCATTTTAATACAGCAATCAGTGGGATAGTACGTGAGCTATGAGGTATTCCTCTTAGATGCCTAGAAAACATGTTGGGATAGTTAATTCAAGAACACAAGTGACCCATCACATCAAACTACATGGTTTCAGACATGTGTTGCCCATAATTAGGAGGGCACATAAACAATATCAATACAAAGCAAGAGACAGAATTTGAAAGAAATAGCTGTTGTGCTTCAAAAATTGATACAGTCATAGTGTTAATTGCATACTGTAGTGATATAGTGGTGAGGACATTAGTGGTTGTGATAGTGATACAGCATTCTCAACTGAAAATGTTTTAATAAATACAGCATTAGCCTTATCGTTAATATTTCCAATAATCTCACTGATATTGTATTTATTTCCTTTGGTGTTTTGGCTCCAAATCTAACAGAAAGCATTACTGGCATTTTCTTAAACTAGGACATTACTTGGTAAGTCGGTGTGTAAATTTCAATGAAGATCCAGTCTGTGCAGAGTGCCCAACAGGAAAGTATACCAGCAGATGGAATGCACACAGTTCTTGTGCTTCATGCAAAATATGTTCTGAAGGTGAGCCTATTGACTACTGTTGAGTTCCTAAATATGTTTCTTACATTCGTAATTCAATCAAGTAATGAAGATGCACCTACCTTGTATCTATAATGCTGTTAATTGTAGAATTTCCAGCCTGGAAGGAGAGTCTTCCTTTCATCATTCCTATGTCTGTAGTTCAGTAGGAGCTTTCCACTCTGATCCCATTCGTCTGCTCCTTATCTGCTTCCCTTTACATTCTCCCCTTTTCCTAAAGCTTGAAATAACACTTTTTAATGAACTTCTCTTCAATAGAGAAGATTGGTATGTGTTGTTATTGTTAGAAATCTATTTACAATATATATTATGTAATCGTGCTACTATTGAGCTAATTGGATGAGAAAGCCAATCAGTTCAGCTGTGGAGGAAGAGCAGCAGGAGAAATGGGAAAGAAAGGAGAGTCATAGAGTCAGGCATCATGGAAAAAGATCCTTCGGACCAAACAGTCCATGTTGATCATATTCCCAAATTAAACTGATCCTGTCTGCCTGCGCTTGGCCCATATCGCTCCAAACATTTCTTATTCATGTACTTATCTAAATGTCTTTTTTAATGTTGTAACTGTACCTGCGTCCCCCAGTTCCTCTGGAAGTTCATTCCACACACAAACTGCTGCCTATGTGTAAAAAAAAAAAAAAAATTGCCCCTCATGTCTTTTTTAAAACTTTTTCCTCACACCTTAAAAATATGCTTCCTGACTTCCCCACCCTAGGGAAAAGACACCTGCCATTCACCTTAGCTATATCCCTCATGATTTTATAAACGTCTAAGGTTACCCCTCAACCTCATAGATGGAGAAAGTTATTGAGAAAAGGTATCTCCTACTGTCCCAGGTGACACTGTATTGTTAGCAAATATAAATATGATGTCTTTGAGTAAGACATTAGATTAGCATTACATTAGATTACATTACAATTACATTAGCAGCGGATCTCCCTAAACTAATGTCATGTTCCCAGAGATGACTTAATGGGAGGAGCTGCAAGATTGACATTTTGTTTTATCGATTGTGGGGCTGTAGGTAGCTAAGGAGAGAATGAATTGTCAAATGTTTGATATTTTTAAAAATCAGCATACAGTAGGTGAACATACGATGGGGAGCAATGGCCAATGGCATTATTGCTAGACTATTATTCCGGAGACCAGGCAATGATCTGGGGACTGGGTTCAAAACCCATCACGGGGGTAGATGGTGAAATTTGGATTCAATTAAAAATCTGGAATTAATAGTCTAATTATAAGATGAAACCAATGTCAATTGTCAGGAAAACCCCCGTCTGCTTCACTAATGCCCATTAGGGAAGGAAACTGCCATCTTTACCTGGTCTGGCCTACATGTGACTCCAGACCCACAGCAATGTGGTTGACTCTTAACTGCCCTCTGGGCAATTAGGGATGGGCAATAAATGCTGGCCTAGCATTGAATAACCAAACTTGTTTTTTGACTTGACCTTTATAATAATTTTATGAAAATGCCTTTTGTTTTCAATACGGAATCAGGTGCCAAATATAAAAAGAAGTGTGAAAAAAATTCGGATGCTGAATGCTCATGCGGCAAAGGCAAACAATTAATAAAAGGTATGAAATGGTTATGGCGTGAAGCTTACAGTCAGATGAGCAGTCTTATCAAATGGTGGTGCAGGCTCAAAGGGATGAATTACTTTCATTTGTCTGTCATCTACTCCTGAATAACTAATGCCTTGATGTTGCAGGATGAGTGACAAAGTTTCCTCTTCTTCCTGCTGATTTTAGTGAACATTTCTGTCTAAAATGGCACAATTGCAATTAAAATGTACAGCAAATTATAGCTTGTTCACTTACAAGCATGTGATGCAATGATATAAATCCTGTTTGTTTAATTTCAAAGTAAAATTGGTGTAAGAGCCTGTTGCTCTCCTTGTAAAGTCTTTGACCCCAAACTCTTTTCGATGTCATTGTACTAGTCATTGTCAAGATTTCTTTAAACAGGCATCAGAGATAGTTGAACGTGGATGATGGGAGTATCCTTACATTGAACCTCAACCAGGAAATGGCAATTTGTGCTTATGTCTGTGTTGGATACATCTCAATTTTAAGGGACTCCATCTGACTCAGTGGCCATTCTTCCTGTAACTGGAAATGTCTCCCGGTGACAATGACCAGTAAAAAGACATCTAAAAGAGTTCATTAAAATCAGCAGGAAGAAGTGGAGAGAGACAAAATGATGTTAGAGAATATAATTCTTTGCAACTGCAATTTGGAAAGTGTGAAAATGTAGTGAATTTCACCACTTTAAATGTCTTTTTAACAAAATGAACAGCCCGCTGCTGTTTTCAGTTGCACACTTAGACTCTTTGTAAGGCAAGAAAAGGGTGGAATCAGTTAAGTGAGAGCTGTACAATAATCTGCTTACAAAGGCGAACATGACACCCTTTGCCATTACAAAAGCAAAATTTTGCAGATGCAGGAAATCTGAAATAAAAATGGAAAATACTGGGAATACTCAGCCAGTCTAGCAGTATCTGCAGAGAGAGAAATATCATTAACATTGCATGTCAATGATCTTTCATCAGATCACATTGTGATGAACTGCATTGTCACTTTTAACTTATTTTCATCCATATAAGAGTCCAATTCCTGTGAGCCATGTCCATCAAGATCTTATTCCGATGAAGAAGGTATTAATCCCTGCAAGCCCTGGACCCGGTACGTGAAACATTTGTTCAGCTTTGTAACTGATATGTGTGTGATTTAAAGCAGTACAGGTCTGTATATGATTGAAGTGTGAGGACTGAGGGCCATTCCAGCTAGCTTGCCCTTGCACAGTAAAAAGATTAGGTTCTATAAACAACACATTTATACAAACTGCAGTGAAAACCAGTGCAGCAAGTAATCCTTTGTGTTCTTATTTTAAGGTTCTACTGCACACTGACAACACCTACATAAATGCTTAATATCAGACACTTCCATACTAAGCCACCAATTCACAGATTATCATTTATAACATTTCATAGCAGTTTAACATCCAACAGATGAAGACTGAAATAAACACAACCACTTTGATACTGCCAATGTATTCAAGAGGGGATTAAAGAGATATTTGGAGGAGAAAGTAATGAAGAACAGGAGAGCTAGACTGATGCATGGAAAATGTACTTTAGGATATTTGACGTTCACTTCACTCTCATCCAGTCCTTTGTTTTCTCTGTTGGCTCTGTATGAAGAGAAATATCTAAAGTCATTGTCACCCAGTTCAGTCCAACTCCAATATTATTTAATTTTGTCCCTTTCCAAAAATCAGTAAGTAACAAAAGAAAGCAGATTGGTCCTTTGTTTATCTTCTCATTATTTCCAGAAAGGAGAAAGTTATTGAAAATAACATTCTAGAATAAGGTGTATAGTTAAGGTCTTTTTCAAACGAGTCCAAAAAGTGAGGGGGAAAATATTTAAAAGGGACCTGATGGGCAACTTTTTCATACAGAGGATGGTGCATGTATGGGATGAGCTGCCAGATGAAGTGGTAAATGCAGGTACAGTTATAACATTTAAAAGACATTTGGACAGGTACATGAATAGGATGAGTTTAGAGGGATTTGTGCTGAACACAGACAAATGGGGTTATTTCAGTTTAGGATATCTGGTCGGTACAGACCAGTTGGACTGAAGGGTCTGTTTCTGCGCTTTATGACTCTATGACAAATGTATGAGTTTTGAGCACTTTCTGTGTTATTTGCCTGTGTCCCACAGACACATGATGAGCTTGTTATGTTTGAGCAGTCCACTATTTATTCCATGGTTATAAAGTAATGCAACGATCCCTGTCAAAATGCAGAGACATCAGAGAGGCTTACACCAGAGAAGGTGGCCACTTGGCCCAAATTATCTGTGCTAGGTCTTTAAAAGAGCAGATGTGCTTTTCATTTCACACAAAGCAGATTGTTTTACTAATACAACATTGGATTTTTTTCATATAGTTGTAAAGAAATTGGACAGCATTTAATTAAAAATGGTTCAAGTACAGAGGATGTAGAATGTGGTGTGCCCATCGTTACTCCAAAGACCACCACAACTCAAGGAAGAAGCTTCGTTAACCCCACGACTGTGCCCAGGACAACAATACCCAGTGGCTCAACCAAACCAAGTCCTTCAGTAACTACAGCAAGCCAGCCAGGTAAGTGTTAATGACTGACTCACACAAACATTATTTCAATTTAAATAAAATTGATTTCTTTCTAGCTTTAATGATGAACCAAGCCTTCAAACAGTCACTATCTTTACAGTTAAGATCGTGCAAATTAAGCAGCAGGGCTGGGGATTCTCTGGTAGTTTGTAGATACTTCACTGGTAGAATAGTGGGAGCCTCACTCAAGCATAGAATCAGGCCCCACTTCCAGTTGGTGGGGTTCCGTGGAAATTCCCAGCCCTGAATCTCTCTTCTAATTTTCCCTGGAGGGGACCGACCTGAGCAACGGATCATTCCAAGTGCTCGCAGCTCACCTTCATGCTAGTGTCTGAAGCACGGAGGCTAATTGGCCAAACACCATTGGGATTAACATTGGTTGAATCTAATTCTGCCTCCTCTCAAAATAGACTTACAATTCTATATCATCTTTCACAACCTCATAAGGTCCCAATGCACTTTGCAGCAAATGAGACACTTTTGAAGTGTAGCCGCAGTTATAATGTAGGAAACACTGCAGCCTATCTCTGCACAACAAGATACTGTAAATAGCAATGTGATAAAGATTGGATAATCTGTTTTCAGTGAAATTAGTGGGGGGGAGGGTAAACATTGGGGAAACAACTGTGAGAACTCCCTTGTTCTTCTTCAAAGAGTACCATCTATGCTTTTACAGCCAACTAGGAAGGCCAACAAGGTCTATGTTTACTTCTCATTTGGAAGACAGATATGACATTATATCCAGGGATTAATGCAAGGCTCAAATCCACAGAATTACAAGCAAATTCCATTCAGCAGTAATTAAGGGCAAACAAAACATAGGCAAGTGTAAAATCTGGGAACATTGTTTTAAGATTCACAGCCACACTATGTAACATATTTACTCGTATTTGATGTCATAGATGGGTCATGACAGTTGTATTGCAAGACTCTGCATTCTTCCAATTTAGACTCTTACAAACGCCTTATTTCTTTTGTTCTACCATTCCTGGTCATGCCTTCATATGTCCAAATCTTAACTTCAGAAATTTGTTCCTGGAACTTCTCTCTGCTTCCTTTTAAGTAAGGCCTTAAAACCTGTCTTTGACTAAGCATTTACTTACCTATCCTAATATCTCCTGTTGGCTCCTGTGAAATGTCTTGGGTATATTTGATATGTTAAACCTCTACACAAGTGCCAGTTGTTGTTGCTTCCTTGGTGATTAAAATGCTAGTCAATAATAATTGAAAGTTTTGACATGTTTGAAGTTTTGGAATGTAAACCGTGTCAGTATCATGCTATCTTTTCTCTTAGCCATGGCTGTCGAAGTTAAATTTTATATTGGTGTCATCGTTGTGGCAGCTCTGATTTTTCTCATTGTCCTAATTAAAAGGAGAAAAATGTACCTGGAGGTGAAAAAACAAGGTGAGGACATAGAAACATTGTAAGATACAATAGATTTCATTTATTTTGTCTGCTTCACAACATCATTTATCCCTCACTTTAATAAATATAAAAACCAGTTGAAATCAGGTAAGAGCAGCCTGGAGACTCTTCACTAGGTTCAGGATAGAATCTAGTTTTACTAGTCAACCTTTCCTTTGATAACTTGGTGCTGAATCGATTTAATGATGAAGTGATATCTGGACTAATTACTATATCCTAGGGTTAGGATCTACATCACTATTTCAACTTCACCCCAAAACTGCAACACCTAAGGGCATTTTTTCATCCATGTATTTCATGTAATGCTAGGATTTTAAGTTGCTCCATTATTCCATTACATGTGTGTGTGTGTGCACGCGCGCACACAGTCTTTTGGAACAACAGCACTTTCTCACGGCAAGAATTGGCAGGTGAGAGTCCCTTTTAACCTGAGGATGTAATTGCTCTGCAGCCACAACATCGTTCTGGCTGACCAGGAACCTCTTCTGCTCTTACTGCCTGCCATTGGCATATCAGAAAGTTTGAGAGATAGATAATAAAGTTATTTGGCTGTGCTTGACACACAGTTGTGTGCCCACAAAATCTTGCGATGAAACTTGAAGCTTCAGGTCCAGACACTCTCATTGTGCCGCAAGACTTCCCCAAAGCACCATTCAGTCATGTTGTAAACCTGCAAAGCTTTGGAGGGTAAAAAACATTATTTTTCACCAATTATTAATATTCTCCAAATTAAAGCAATCAAGAACTTGAGATGGTTAAACAAGTGGAGGAGGTAACATACTCAGTGTGTACTGAGACATAGCTAACCTGTGCAAAGGAGTAAAGTATTTCAGGAGTACACATGCTAAATTATTTTTAATTATTCAAATTATTTTTAATCGTTAACAGCAATTGAGCAAACTGAGGTTATTATACAGGCTTTTTTTTGTTTTTTGGCACTGTCCAGAAATCAATAGGACTTCTTCCTCATCAGAGAGAGAGAGAGAGCTGTTAGTGAGTTTAGCCTGAGGTGAGGGGTGAGGTCAAGAAGGTGGGATCTTCATGGTGACTTCTGATCCCAGAAAATGAACCTGTGCTGTTGGCATCATTGTGCATCACAAACCAGCCAACTGGGCTAACTAAGCCCCTTATTCCACAGGTTTTATTTAGAGGACTGCCATAAAATAAGCCTAACCGATTAAAAAGTGAAGTCAGATGAATCACAGGCAGGACCCAGTATAATGTCTTCAATGCTGCTTCCAGGAGTTGTATGGAAAGAAGGGCCAACTGAGCAGGCAATGGGAATACATTTTGTACCACACATGCCCTTTCTATCCTAATTTTGTAGAGCAATCTTTTTACACCTGGATTCTGAACTGACCCCAGTTTTCACTGAAGAAAGTAACAGCCTGATTAGAATTAATGAAGAGCTTACAAAATAAATTTTCTTTATTATGCGAAGCTTTGTAATTAACATGGAATTTTACTGCACCATTAATTACAGATTTCTACTGGTGTCTTGCAATGAAAAAAGATATGAAGGGTCCGGTGCAGGAAGTATCCGAGGATATCACATCAGTGCAAGTATAAAACTGACCCCAGCATCTTTTACAGATTTGAAGTTGACAGCTCACTGAACTGAAGATCAAACCAGTTCAGTGGTTATATGGACAGCGTCAACGTTTCAAACTAAAGAAATGAAGGAAAGGCTATGTACATTGTAGCTTGGGAGAATCTTACCCAAGATTGAAGACATTCTACATGCTCAGGGATGTTTTCTATAAAACTGCATACATTGTAAAGACTCAGAAACTTGTCACTGGATATCTTGCTTCGGACAAAACTGTGCAAGCTTGAAATCCCAAGTGAGTGTGCTGTCATGCTGACATACAAGGAAATTGGAAGCACGG